TTTTATTTTTTATTTTTTTTATTTTTTATTTTTTTTATTTTTTATTTTTTTTATTTTTTATTTTTTTTTATTTTTTATTTTTTTTATTTTTTATTTTTTTTATTTTTTATTTTTTTTATTTTTTATTTTTTTTATTTTTTTATTTTTTTATTTTTTATTTTTTTATTTTTTATTTTTTTTATTTTTTATTTTTTATTTTTTTATTTTTTATTTTTTATTTTTTATTTTTTATTTTTTATTTTTTATTTTTTATTTTTTATTTTTTATTTTTTATTTTTTATTTTTTATTTTTTATTTTTTATTTTTTATTTTTTATTTTTTATTTTTTATTTTTTATTTTTTATTTTTTATTTTTTATTTTTTATTTTTTATTTTTTATTTTTTATTTTTTATTTTTTATTTTTTATTTTTTATTTTTTATTTTTTATTTTTTATTTTTTATTTTTATTTTTTATTTTTTATTTTTTATTTTTTATTTTTTATTTTTTATTTTTTATTTTTTATTTTTTATTTTTTATTTTTTATTTTTTATTTTTTATTTTTTATTTTTTATTTTTTATTTTTTATTTTTTATTTTTTATTTTTTATTTTTTATTTTTTATTTTTTATTTTTTATTTTTTATTTTTTATTTTTTATTTTTTATTTTTTATTTTTTATTTTTTATTTTTTATTTTTTATTTTTTATTTTTTATTTTTTATTTTTTATTTTTTATTTTTTATTTTTTATTTTTTATTTTTTATTTTTTATTTTTTATTTTTTATTTTTTATTTTTTATTTTTTATTTTTTATTTTTTATTTTTTATTTTTTATTTTTTATTTTTTATTTTTTATTTTTTATTTTTTTATTTTTTATTTTTTATTTTTTATTTTTTATTTTTTATTTTTTATTTTTTATTTTTTATTTTTTATTTTTTATTTTTTATTTTTTATTTTTTATTTTTTATTTTTTATTTTTTATATTTTATTTTTTATTTTTTATTTTTTATTTTTTATTTTTTATTTTTTATTTTTTATTTTTTATTTTTTATTTTTTATTTTTTATTTTTTATTTTTTATTTTTTATTTTTTATTTTTTATTTTTTATTTTTTATTTTTTATTTTTTATTTTTTATTTTTTATTTTTTATTTTTTATTTTTTATTTTTTATTTTTTATTTTTTATTTTTTATTTTTTATTTTTTATTTTTTATTTTTTTTTTATTTCTGAGGTAAAATTAATTTTCAATAAAGATCATGTTTTTATACATATTCCACTTATTTTTTTCCTGTAGTTTTGTATTTTTTGTAACAAATAAGTTTTCATACGAAAGGCAAAATAACACTAAGTGAAATGTTTTCTACTATTGAGATAAAGGATGTTATTCATTTGTTTTTTTACTGCTGGCTGGCTGAAATATAGCTAGGTGCAGTGCAAACTAACAAAAAAAAATATTTTTTGCAATAGTACAAATTTGAACTTTCAATAAATTCATTTTTGAAATAACTGGATATTATTTTAACACAGTAGGTTTTTTATTCTGTGAGACAATAATTTGGCTCACTCAAAAATTATTTTTGATCTAAAAACACTATTTTTTTATTATATTGTTTTTATTAAATTCATATTTAGTATATAAATGTCGAGAAAAAATCAAATTTCTCAAATTTGGTTGAATTTATGCGATATTTAAACAAACATATATTTTTATAAAGTTGCATCTAACAGCTTGAAAAACGAGTATATATGTGAGGCGCCATTTTTACATCATCTTAAAATTAATCCGAAAATTTTGATTTTTACATTAAAAATATAACCCTAACCAAAATATGATAAAAAAAAATTTAATAGTAGACGAATATTTGACATACGTAGTATTATTTGGCGAAACATAAGTATCTTGATATCCTGAATCTATATTTAAAATAAGGCTAAACCTTTAATTTATTTGCACAATTGGGATTCATATTCAAAAAAGTATCCACTATTACGTTATCAATAATAAATTATGGTGTAAGCTGATAATATAAGAAAGTTAGAATAGTGAAGGAAAACATGAAATTGCAAAACGTCTAGGAAACGAAAATACATTTTTTCTATACCCACAAGGATATTAGATTATCTACGCATAGAGTACAAAACGAAAAAGAATGGTATTGCGTTCAACTGAACGAATATATTTCATATCCATTCTAGGTAGAAAGAATACTATAAAAAATAATAAAATACACCAATCACAGTCCCTATTTTGATCACCCAACTACTATTATTTTTAAAATTTTAAATAAGTAACATTTCTCTCATCCTAATTGAGATTAAATATACATTAAAATGAGTTATTCTTGTGTAGACTCGATAAATAATAATAGCATTTCTATTTTTGTTTGGTCTATAATTATAAATATTTCGTTAATTTTAATTAAACTATATAAAGTCAATTTAATTACGAGCATTAAAGAAAAAAATTAAGCACCTCGGTGGTGGTGAGTTCAGAGCACTGGTCTTTTTTCTTGTTTATTCTATTTTATAAACTAGTGAAAGTTTAAATTATCTTAATAACCTAACACAATTTTTAATATTATTTGTAGATTTTCGTTAGTGGGTCATAGAAAAAATATGCTGTACATCTCGAGTGGATTGTCCATATAACACTCAGACGATTGAGGAGCATTCCACTAACGGCGTCGTGCTCAAATTTCGTCTTCGTGCGATATGGCCATCATAATATCCACTCTTGTTGCACAAACTACTATTACTCTTTTATTGTATCTGTATGAGGATAAATTAAAAAAAATGTAAATCTTTACAATACTTGTTAAATTCAGAATACATAGACAGGGAGAATAGTTTTATTGGCTGAATTGAAAAATGAAATATGCCAATTAAAAACTAAGTTATTTAATAATGAACAATAAAATATTTAATTCCCGGAATTAAATCATATTAGCAATTTCCATTATTATCTATTGTCCTCTAATATTTCAAAAATAGATATACAGGTATCATAGGACAGTTCAAATAAGGGATTAAAAAGGGAAAGACACGAATTCGTTGAAGTCGACTAAAATAGTTTATGCGGGTTAATCCAATACAAATTCAATGTTTTATATGACAAATTGTATACCACCCGATATGGTTAACATATATATCAATTAAGTAAGGAAGGTGTATGAGAGGTATATTTTATGGTATTTGTTGTGGTACTGCTTAGAGTTTTTGAATTTTATGTATGTAGGTAAATTATATAAAACTATTTGAGTCCATTGACTGTTTTTTGCATGGATTTCTAATAGTTTTTTTGTACCTATTAAATATTTTATCTGTTTTCCCGTTTTATTTAAGCATGGTATCATTAATTCCACAAAAGTTAATTGTTACATCTTACAAAACATAAACCTCTCATTTTCATGTGTATTATGCATATACATACACAATTTGATTTATATAAGTTGGTGCATTCCAAAGTTTATGTTCTTTACGCGCTTGTTTAGATTTTTGCTAAGAAAGTAAAACTGGTTTATTTGTATTTTAGCATACTTTAATTTAAACTTTTTATGACATTAAAGGGGTAATTTACAAACTAGAAATAAACTTTTCAAATTCCTAAAACGATACTAATGCCGGGCCTGCTTATGCGAATTTATTGTCATTCGGAGGCTTGAAAGCAAAAGTAGAAAACTATTCGTCTATGGTTAGAAATTTTTAAGTTCCTCTACTCACTGCCGGGGACCGCCACCTTGCGCGAAATGCGATTCCTTGTGTGTCGGTGGTCGACGCTTCTTATTTTGACATTTGAGCATGCGCAGATCACTTTTACATTCTAGAACTGACTTTAATAAAGATTGTGCCTGTCCAATGGAGGGTAGAGGAAAGGAGAACAATCTCTGTATACAAAAAGTGTCCCTCAAAATGTATACAATTAAGATGGCGCTTCTGTGCCCAGGGGACGTCGACAGTCGATAATTCAGATCACACAATGACACCAATGATGTATATAGTAATAAATATTGCTCAACCATAAAAAACTACAAACTACACCGTGAAAAGTGGCTTTACATGCGACTCTATGGGTAAAGACAGGTTATTTTTCATCTCACTCGGGAGTATTTATAACAACCATTTTCTATTTCACTTTGTTATTGTCTGATCCACCAGCATGTGGATTGAACAATAACAAAGTGAAACAGAAAATGGTTATTATAAATACTCCCGAGTGAGATGAGAAATAAAAATGGCTGCGCCCATAGAGTCGCATATTGTTTTATTGATACAATATGCACAATGGCTTTCTACCCCACTCCAGTTCATTGCTTCCTGTCTGATTTAATTATGAATGAGCAATCTATATGACTATATAGCATTGGATTTTGTCCCCTGGCTACACGAGTGCCATCTTAATTGCATACATTTTGGTGGCCACTTTTTAATATAAAGATCCATATAAGATTGTCCTCCTTTTTTCTACCCTCCATAGCCTGTCCTTAATTAGGCATTCCAACGACCTGTCAAACAATAGGTGCCAGTGGGAAATTCTTGTATATTTAAGGGGGTAGCGACATAGGCTTGCAACTTGGACGCTATTTTTATTCGAAGTAGTACTCGCCAAGCCTGCCAATTTATGAAGAAATGTATAGGTGGGTTTTTTAAATATTACTTTTATTGTGTTTGACATAAAATATTTAAATGTAATCCATTATTCATGATTTTACGTAAAGTAGATAGAATACACCATATGTCGCCACCCTTAGATATACCAAACCTGCCCACTGGTAATTCATTTGTTTGTGGATGTTTAAGGACAGCAGTTAGTGGCAATTTATAGTTTTCGGGTGCGCTCGCCAACATTCGTATCAGTTCGAAGTTTTTTAATATTAAATATTTAATATAATCGTCGTCTAAACCTTCTAAAATGGTGATTTCTAATGCCTCTTCCATATCATGTACTATTATAAATAACAAAAAAGATGAACTTTAATTTTAAATTTTTAAGATGAAATTAGTTAGAATGTTTAAGGACAAGGACTCTAATGTCAAAATTTCAGGTTTGCAATAAGTCTTATTTTAGCATGGAATTTATTTGCCTCTAATTACGTTGTCACTACTAGTGATTGACGTTATAGAAATTTGCAATAACTCTCTATTATTGCACAGGTTTAGTAAAATCATGTTTTTCGTTTGCGCTATTTTGTCTTACGCTTTCTCCCAACGCTCATTGATTACGTTCGGTATTTTGTCTGCACTTTTTTTTCTTGGCGCTATTTTAATTCGAGCTACTTTTATGTGCTCTGTTTTATTATAGAGACTCAATTCTTCTTGAGAATCAATGAAACTTCTTTGATGGAGACTCTTGAATACTATAGAATCAGATATAGGTAAAATACCAATACCATACACATCATTGGTGGAAAATGGAGACACTCAAATTCAAAGCGAAAAGGCTATACTCCCTAGGTCAGAGACCAGGCGCCGTTGAAAAAGAAGATTATATAGGATCTGAAGAAGAAGAAGAAGAACATAACCATAAAACAAAACAAGAAAGATACCGAAAAAGAAAAAATATTTTTATCCAATATTATATTTATTTTACAAATATGGGTGATCAATCTATTCTTCCAGTTTCCAATGAAGAAATTTTAAGTTTGTGTGCACCAAAACCGACTGAAACAGAGGTCTTAAATAGTCCTAAAACTAATACATTCATCCACATTAATTTTATTTTTTTAGGAGTTTATAATGCAACAAACTATGTATAGAATTAAAGATCCTAGAAAATCGGTACCATTCTATACTCAAGTTCTTGGAATGCAACTTTTAACTAAATTAGACTTCCCTTCAATGAAATTTTCTTTGTATTTCTTAGGTTATGAAGAACCAACATCTTTACCAGAAGGTTTGACCTCTAAAGAGAGAGTTTCATGGACTTTTGGTAGAAAAGCAACAATTGAATTAACCCAGTAAGTAAATACATTTAAGTAGATAAATTACTGCTTACATACCAGTACACAGTACCTACATGCCTTAATAAATAGAACTCCCCTTTATGTAAAACAAAACCTAGTCTTAAAGAGATATACTTAATATAGATTATAATTACAAGTTCGTGTATTCATGTAAACAGTTTAATTGTGAATAGCTATAAAAAATTTTTAGAGTTATGATTATAATACTTGTTTAAATAATATTTCTAGACCTTAAATACATACGATTGCCTAACTCCACCAGTAAAAATTTAAAACGATTGGTATTATTTTTATTCTATGATATGACACTGGCAAACAAACATTACTGCAAAATTCTCTATGTCTGATGGGGTTTGACATTTACTACCTATTCACCTACCAAAAACCTGTTCAACTTCTGTCCGTGCTCTACAAGATCAATGCAAGAGAACCTGAATGCCTCATCTTTGGCCCTACCTTATTCAATTTTGGTCCCTTAAACACTACCTTCAGTACCTTCTAGAAAATTATGTTATACTTACAATAAAATATTTTTTAGTAATTGGGGCACCGAAAATGATGATAATTATAAACCCCACAATGGAAATCAAGATCCAAAAGGTTTTGGTAAGTACATTTTAAATAAATCATCACTTTAGTCACTGTTAAGCGAATAACCAAAATCATTTGGTATTTACCATTTTAGATTGGTAATTACTACAACATTCAAGTGACTTCGCTTATTAATTTGGTAATATATCCGTGACGTCATAAATTAGCTGTTTTTTGTCAAAGTTATGACCAAAATGTTGTGGTATTTACCTTCCTCCAGAGCTGTTTTTGATTATTGGTTATAGATAATTAACAGTTACAACTGGAGTGAGTATTTTGTACCGACTAGTTCTATACAAATAAGGTATACTAAATCCGATTTTGTGCCTTTTTTAAACATTAAAATCATATTCAAAAATGGTAGAAGATTATTGGATGAGTAAAAATTGCAGGACAATATAGTTTAAATAAAAATCTATATCACTAATTCATAAACACGGCGAAAAAGATAGGTTAAATAGAATTGATATTTAAAAATAAAAAACTTACAACCATGTTTATTAATTACCACTTCAGTTAAGCGAATGCCACTTGTGACGTCAGTACACTAACCCTTTCCATAAATTCATGCAATAACTAAGAAATTTTGTGGTAAATACCAAGAAAATTTGGTAGTTCGCTTAAAATTGCTTTTTATTAGGATTTCTTTTTTATAAAACTATTTTTCTAGGACATATTGGTGTAATGGTACCAGATGTTTATAAAGCTTGTGAGAGATTTGAAAAATTGGGTGTTAATTTTGTAAAAAAACCTGATGATGGAAAAATGAAAGGGATAGCTTTTATTACTGATCCTGATGGATATTGGATTGAAATATTTAACAACAAAATTGTAGCAGAAATTGTTAATCCTGTTTAAGTTCCTAATAGTTTTATATTTATATTACTGAAAAAAACAACTAGGTATAATTTTCAAAATATATTTTTCAATGTTTATTGTGATTGATTTGAATTTCCACAAGAGCATCCCTACTTTGTTTCATTTTGCTTATAACAATCCCACTACAAGCAATTGAGAGAAGAATTGCCACAATATTTCTTATGTCTACATCAGATTCAGAATGGCTAAATTATAACTGTACTACACTTAATAATAATAATAATAATTTATTAACTTATATTTAACAAAAAAAAATTGTCTATGTGAATAAATAGTGGTTCCACTAAAGGCGAACTTTGTGTGTGGGATACTTTGAGAAATATATTCTACATAGCATTTTTTTTACTATTTTTTGTTTTATTTATTATAGAGACAAATTAGCTACAGCACTGAATATTTTATAAATATTTATTGTATACATAAATAATTGGATAATTGCAGGTAAGTTCTTTTTAGTTAAATGATTTTAGTTATATTTAAATTAATAAAATCGTGAAATTTTTGTCGTTGCTTAGTTAATATTCATTGTTTGCAATTTAGACCTATAAAGACCTATAGAATTTAGGTTTTTAAATTGCGCCGGAAGTGCGTTAAATATTTTAGGACCGAGATATAAAAAACTTATTTGCTCTAGCTAGAGTCTTCCATTCTAGATACCATGATCACATGATTTTTATAACGTATTGGGTATAAATGTTGTACCGGAGTGCTAAGGAAAATATCCTTCTTCTGAAATATTGCAACTCGTAGGTAAAACAGTTGTTTCAAATCCAAAACTTCTGCTTCTAAAAATAAACTTTCCGTTGGGTTAGTATAGTTTTTATTATAAATAATTTTTAAAATCCATTTTTGTATTATTTGTAAATGTTTAATATGGACATCTGCCGCACCTCCCCAAGCAATAATACCATAGGTTAGATGCGTCTGTATTAATACATAATATAGCATCTTTGAGTGGGGAATATCCAAAAAACATTTTAAAAATTTAAATTTTGCTAAATTGAATCTAATTTTCTTTATAACACTACTAATGTGTGCATTCCACTTTAAATTACAATCTATTATTATTCCCTAGTATTTACTTGTTTTTAACATTTTTATACAAACAATTTCATTGTTGTAATTTATATTAATTAAATCATATTCAGGTAAATTTGAATCGTAACTAGTAAATGGAAGAAATATTGTTTTAATAAAATTGATTGTTAATAATTTGTTACGGAAAAAATCTAACACAATAGGTAGAGAGAATTATTTTATTTTTTGGGGTATTCCAATTAGTATCTTGGTAGTAAATGGACGTGTCATCGACGAAACCTATGATTTCTGCGGGTACAGATAATTGAAAAAGGGCATTAATATACAGGGTGTTATTGAAATACATATTAAAATGGGGAATAGTATGTAATGACCAAAAACGATTGGCACCAATTTTAACTTCAAATTCTAAAATTTAAATATTGGGGAAGAGTCCCCTTTTCCGACCTACTAGTTTCCATATTTAAAGAAGTAAAATACAGTTCATCAAATTTCTAGAGGCTGTCGACGGCTAGACAGAGAAAGCACTACTGACAGGCATCCCGACGGATTTACGCAATGAAAGTACACTCTGCGCATCAAGTATTTCACTATTTCATTCAGACGTAAATGTCAGATGTAAATTTCGCTAAAACATTTCTTTTATTTTCGTTTGTGTTTTTTGCTCATTACAGTTAATAGAACCTAAGTATGGAGTTTAATAGCAAATTAAGAGGCCGCGTGATTAACAGTCAATCTCGCGAAATAATAGCCAATTTTATAGAGTTTATGAGAAGAGAAGGAAACTTTAATTCACCTTCAATACCATTTAAAAATGTAAATGATCGTGTTGCTGCAGCCACAGGAGTATCTAAAAACACTGTCGTCCGCATTTCTGGAGAGAAAAAAAGAATCGATAACCGTGAGATATCGGAATTTTCATCACCAAGAAAAACCATTAAAAAACCAAAAACATTTAATGATATAGATGAAGCTGCACAAGAATCAAATTTTATTTTTTTATTATTAGATAGTTATTTTTGTTTATGAGTTGTGTTCATTTACAGGCTCAATTTTTTTCCGTTTCTCCTTTTTGATTTTATATGGGGTTTCAAGTTGTTTTTGACTTATTTCGACGTAAATCACAACAACACACTTTTTTAATAAAGCAAACAAGTGTTAAAAGGTATATGTACGTGTAAACTACAATTACAAAAAATTGATATGAAACCACCAACAAAAATGTAAAGCTAGCTTCCGTACTAGAACATGGTGTCATTCGTCGAGATAATTTATCGTTTTGTTTAATAGATCAAGAAATGTAAATATTCCCCTGTTATTTTTTATAAAATTATAAGAGAAATAAATTTTTTTCTTAATAGTATAGTTTATTATTTTGTAGAAAAACAAAATTTCCAAAATTTTAGTAATGTTTCAGAAATAACCGTTATTAATAATAGGTACCATTTTCCTTAATAGGGTAGAAATAAAATATAAACTATTTCCACGATTTACAAAGGCCTACAAAAAAATTATAGGTATTTTTCGCTATCCTATAAAATTTATATTTTCTGACTCAATTTCAAAAGGTTGAAGGAATTCCAAAACACCTTTTATGGCATAATAATTATTTTCAATTCTACATACTATCTTTAGCTGCTTTTAAAAACGTTCTAAGAAAGTCCAATCAGACCAATTTAATCCCTAAACTATTCCACACTTTTAAAATTTAATTACCTAAAAATATTAAAAATTATTTAAAATAACTTGTTTAGCAGACTGTACAATAGCTATCTTAGTCACACGTAGCGCGTTCTCTGTCTGGGCGTCGAACACCTCTAGAAATTTGATGAACTGTAAATCGAAATTGAACTTACCCATAGAAATTGCACTGTTGCCGTAGCAAAACCAATTAATTCAAAATAAAGTTTATTACAGTAATTGTTCAAAATGCCGTCCATTATTATTTACACACACTTGCAATCGTCTTTCCAAAGAACTTTGAACATTAGAAATTAGTCTTGGATTTTGTCGTAGTTCCTCGGCTACCGCATTAACTTTATTGGTTAATTGTTCAACACTATTAATAGGTTCATTATAAATCAGTTGTTTCATGTGACCCCACAAAAAGAAATCGCATGGATTTAAGTCCGGAGATCTCGGAGGCCACTTAGTAGGTCCATTTCTGCCTATCCACCTTTGAGGAAATCTAATGTTCAAAAACTGCCGTACGTTTAAATCAAAGTGAGGAGGAGCGCCATCTAGTAGGTACCACATCCGTTGCCTTAATTGTAACGGTATCTCTTCTAGGAGTACTGGCAAAATATCTTCTAAAAAGTGGAGATATCCTGGCCCATTTAATCTGTTCGGGAGAACATAAGGCCCGATTAAATACTGATCTATTATGCCAGCCCAAACATTGAAAATTTTCTTTGATGTCCAGTTTCCCTAATGGCGTGAGGATTTTCATCACTCCAAATATGCGTATTGTGCATATTGAACACGCCATCACGAGTGAATGAAGCCTCGTCAGTATACAATAATATTTTTAGAAAATCAGGAATATCAACACATTTTTGAATCATCCATTCACAAAACTCCACTCTCTTTTCTTCATCACCTGGATATAAGGCCTGGACTTTTTGGATGTGATAAGGATGTAAACCTTGTTCTTTAAGTGTCCGCCACACAACAAATGAGGACACTCCAATTTCAAGACCTAGTCTTCTACAACTTAATTGAGGCCGGTTTTCAACAGCTTCCAATATTTCTTCTTCGGCCGCCAATGTTCTTTGTGTTCTTGTTCTCCCTCGATCTGCATTGACACTCTCAAATTTTCCATGGTCTCTTAGATGCTGAACAGTTGAAATAAACGTACGACAGTCCGGAATTCTCCGATTTGGAAACCGTTCGCGATACAGGATTTGTGCTTGCCGAGAATTTTTTCCAGCTGCCCCATAAACCAGCACTATATCCGTTAGTTCAATATTCGTAAATAGTGGCATCGTAAAAAAATATTTAAAAGTAATCGTAACAACACTTTTTACCAACTTGGAAATGACGCGCTCGTGTTAGCCAGATTCGTAAATCAACGAAAATTTCAATAATCTATAGTTTCAAAAATGTATAGTTTAAAAACAATCATTTATCAAATATTCTAGTTTTTTGATAACGAGGGTAGTAAAAACCAGTCTTCGGAAATAGAAATTAAGTCGAAAATCTTGGCAACATGGTTATTTCTTACAAGACTAGTTTTCTTATCATCTGACAAAAACTTGCATATTAATTACTGTTGATGTTTAAAATAGGTAAATAAACCTAATTTATATAGGTCATCCTCAACATATCAGTGAAGTACGTTTGTTTTAGAATTAATTTTCAAAAATTAATAACTCCCTTAATAAGGGGTATTTTTAAAAAATAATATTTTTCTACATTCAGTGGGGATCTGCGCAATACCCAGTTTTAATATGTACGTGTATTTCAATAACACCCTGTATATGTATATTAAACAAAATAGGATCAAGAACAGTACTTTGGGGAATGCTAAATTGTATTGTTTGCTTATCACTCATAACGTCACCAATACTGACTGTTCTCGATCAGTTAGGTAGCTCTTTAGTAGTTGATAGGCTACTCCTCTGATGCCTAAAGTAGTTAAAGCTTTTCATAAATCTGGATGACCCACCGTGTCAATTGCTTTGGCGAAATCAACAATTTACAAATCGGAGGCATTTTTGTGTCTATAGATTTGTATATTTTGGATTTTGTGTCAGCTATTGCATCTTCGATAGACCTCCCATCCACAAACCCATATTGTTTAAAGATAATAATTTGTATTTGTTTATAAAATTACACAATCTAAAATTAATTAGTTTTTCTATTATTTTACTCATACTGGAAAGGATCAATACGCAGACAGCACACCAAATCCTTTGGATCTCTACTTGACATCCCAATATCCACTGAATGTCTAGTCCATGGTGGATATCTATTTTATATCCATGAGATGTAATTGATAGACATGCAAATAAATGTCCATAAATAATAGTAATTATATAGCAAATTAATAAAAAATTACGCCATTGTGGCTAATAGTACCGTTCAGATATTTAAAATTAATTTTTTTAAGGTGTATTCAATATCCCGTGGACATCCACTAAATATATCAAAGTCTAGGCGCGAACGCAAACCATGGTGCATATCCACTAGATGTAATTTTTGATTTCGCTTACTAAGTATAGATGGCGATACCACTTTCACTCGTGCTCATGCTCAACCCGCCGTAATTGAGTACGATCGAATTTTTTTTCTCAATCAGACTCCATTAGAGACTGGAGTCGAGAATTTCCATTTATTGCTGAAGAGTGAAGAGTCCTAATAAGAATGACTTTCTCCTTAGTGGGCAAAATCATTGGTTACTTATGAACCTCTACTAAAGATACCCATAAAATATTTTGCTGAATATCCGAATATCTTCTATATCTTGGGATATAGACGGACATTTGGATATCCTGATATCCATATTAGATCCACTGGATATATTGGATATCTCTGGGATTTCTTGTATTGTCTGAAGATACCCGTTAGATATTTTGCTGGATATATCCATAGGATTTCTTCTATATTCTGGATATAGACGGACATTTGGATATCCATATTAGATCCACGGGATAATTCTGATATCCTGTGGATGTATTGGATGTCCACAAAAGATATTCTGTGGATATCTCTGGGATTTGGTGTGTTGTCTGGGTAAGGGTCTGAAGTTTGACATCTCTATCTTATTCCCAGCTTTATATAGTAGTTTTATAACTGCATTTTGTAGAAAATTAGGAAATATTTGAGTAGTAAAAATGTTATTTGCTATATAAGTTGGTGAATTTTTTAAATAATGTACACATCTTTTATAAACCTCAGAAGGAATTTGGTCTAGTCCAGGCGCTTTGTTTGGTTTTAAATCTTTTATAATTTTAACCACCTACTGTTCTTCCACAGGTTCTAAATATATGGAGTTAGCTGTTTTTCTCTCATTGAATTTCATAGATGACTTTTTAATTTTTTTTTGCAAGAATGCTACCTACCTCTGCAAAATATCTGTTAAATACATTTACAATTTCTGTTTTGTTTGTTATATTTATGTGGTTCTGTTTTATTTCACATATCTCCCGTGTTTTACCATGATTTTGAATATTTTACGACTTACCACATATGTTTTGAGGAATTCTTATTTTTACTAATTTTTATAGCAGTCAGTTTTGACAATTTTCATCAAATCATTTAGTTGGTTCCTGTATATTTTAAATTCTTTTAAGGCTTGTGTATTGTTTGGTTGTTGTTTAACTGTTTTATATAAAGAATTCCTAATATTAATAGATGTTACTAAAACATGTGTAATCCAAGGATTATATTTGAAATGAGAACGGTTAAACTTAATTACCTGTTTGAGTTTATATAATATTTTATTTTAGTAATAAAAATATCTGTCATTTTATTAACATCTATGGAAGAATAAATATCTACCCAATTTTCCTGTGATAATATTTTATGTAATAAATTGTTATCACATATTACTTTATGATATTTGTTTTGATTTGAATCTTTCAGATTTGATGGATAGTGGTACTGTAAAATTTGAGAGAAGTGATCAGTAAGTGAGGACCAAAGTACTATGGGTACTATATTTTCTAAGGACTTGCTTGTATTAACATGAAAATGATCCAGGCAGGTTTTACTGCTACCCTGTATTCTTGTGGGTGAATTAATCACTGATATGTATCCATATTCATGCAATATATTTAAATTTTCTTGACTTGCATCAGTTTCCTCCAAGATATTAATATTTATGTCCCCAACGATTATATTTATGTGATTATTTTGCTTTAAATAATTGTACAGATCCTGATTGAATTGGAATGAACATGTACTGGAAGATCTATAGATTGCTAATAATTTAAATGATTAATTTATGGATAACTATTTCTAGTGCGTTTATATTGTTTAGACATACGATTTTATAGTTGTATGTTAAATTGTTTTTAATATATACGACTGCTCTGTTTAAATTTCCCTCTGAATAGATTAGATTATGGGGGTTATGATTGACAACCTGTGTTATTTTTAACAGGTCTGTTATTTTATAAACACAAAAGAAATAACCTGTTCACAAATAACGTGTCTGTTAAAAATAACATTACTTGTCCATCATAACCTCTTATAACCTTGTAAAGAGAACATTTCAGGGTTATAAATTTTGTATGTTTCCGTTAACACATTACAATCAAACGCCTTATTAAAATTTGCAACCATTACCTGCAATTCATCCAAATGTGCATTATTGTGAAATTATTACGTTTTGTTTCTGCTAATATATTATTTGTCTCTTCAATGCTGTAGGTAATAATATTTTGTAAAGTAGAAATATAGTGATCTCTAATATAAGGATCCATTACAAAAGAACAAATTAATTTTTATTATAAAAATTTTTAGTTATATAGGAAAACTAAAAAGTTCTTACTGATATTAACAAAAATTTTAGTCGTAAAACCTTAGTTAATTGTGTAAAAATTGATAAAGCTAGATATAAAATGTTTTGAAAAATTTGTTATAATAAAAAATTTTTTTTTATAACAATCTTTTTCATAGTTTAGTCTTAAAACCTAAACTAGCAGCATTAAAAAAAATAAGAATATTAATTATATTTGCTTTGATAAAATGTCTTACATAATCTAATTATAATATCTTGTCATTAATGAATTATTATTTTTGCCAATGTTAAGTCTTGTTTCTCTACGGTTTCCTAAGTTTTGTGTATCTTTTTTGTCCCTTTTACCTCTTTCTTGATTTTTGTTGTCTTGATTATTTTTTCTTTCATCAGTGTTATTTAATATTTGTTCTTTTTTATTATTTTATGCTTCGTCTATGTGCTCTTTTTGTACTTTGTCGTTTTTTAGGGAATGGGTTGATTCTATTGTTTTTTGCTGAGAAGCTGATTTTAGGTTTTCTGAAGTATAGGCCTGGCCGTTAATATATAGAATATTTCCTTTTATATGAGCTAAACAGTTTTCTTGTTTAGCCTTCTTCATGTAGTGTACTAGTACTTTCTGTTCCTGTAAATTCTTTTGTTGTCAAGATTTCAGAAATTCTAATTTTGGTTCCTTTCAGAAGTTTGCAGCTGCCGTAGATATTCTTTTTGGTCCAGTAATGTTCAAATTGTATGATAATTGGTTTGTTTTCTTCTGTTTTACCAATAGTGAATACGTTATTAATGTATTTTTTATCTAAGTTTATTTGTAGCAGATTATTCAATTTATCTACGGTATAACTTAATAAATCCCCTTCTTTGTATTCCAAGTTGAATACTATTATGTCATTCTTTCTAATTTGTTTTTGAATCTGTAAGTTTTTAAATTTTTCGTCTTCTAGTTCTTTCTTGATTTTGTGCCTTCTTCTAGCCTCTTTTTCCACCGCTGTTTTGATTTCCAAATTTTGTTGATCTATATGCTGCATTAACTTATCAATTTATCTGTTGTTTTCAGTTAATATAAAAATTTTTAGTTTCTCAAATAAATCGTCCGAACTCATTTCATTATTTGCCTTTGGCCCCTTTACTAATTATTTGTCTATTTTGTTGTCAAACATCATTCGATCTGTATAGTAAGACTATCTCTAGTCTTCATAAGTAAGACTAAAGGTATGCGCTAGTTCAGTGTGATGTCATTTTGGTTCCACTGACATTTAATTCTAACCAAAATTTTAACAAAAACATCAATAAATTTGACATATACGTTTTTAATGTTTTAAGTTTATTTCTAAATATTGTTTACAGGTCATAAAAAATAGTTGAAAGGTATGTAATTGGTAACTAAACGATTGTATATTTGATGCATGTTATCTACTTACTTTAGGAATATATCTATGAAAGTGAAAAAACGATATAATTTAGGTAAACAAAACGCACTCTAAAAATCTACTCACTTTAATTGTCAGTGGAACCATAATTACATCATCACTGAACTAGCGCATTTGTCAATTAAATGTCCAAGAAAATGTTATGTTGAAACAGTGCTTTTTATACAGGGGGGGATATCGCGCATGGTGTCATGGCGGCGCTGACGTCATGCGTAGAGTTAGTAGAGTTGGCGCGAAATAAATATTATATAACAGACGCATGTTGCAGTAATTTGTGAATCGTTTATAGTGATTTATAAGATATTAAGCAAATATTTGTATTATATTATGTTGTAAACTTTGTTCTCTGTGAGTGGTTTTAGTAAAGAACATTGAAAAATTGCGGTACAGATGTAACAGTAACAATTAAAGGAAAGGATTCAAGAAAGATATCATGGTTTTTCGTTATCCTCGACAGTAAGAGCTTAGTCAGAAGTAAGGAGTAGCCCAAGGGCGGCTCTAGTGGAGGCCCAGGGGAGCATGCCGTTCCCTTGACTAAAATTCTTAAAATCTATGAGCCTTTTATTAAAACAAATATGCTAAATAGTCAATTCTACCCTCCTTCTCAAGAAAATTCGACATGACGCAGCCTTTGCAGTGGCTTGTGATTCTGCAGATAAATTTTCATATGTATACGAAGCATTTTCAACCTTCCAATTAGGGACCTCAAATCAGAACTTCACATAATGTGTAATTGTAAATGAACCAGTGTGATTTCTAAACTGGAGACTCTACCCTTTGAAGGATAATTTCGCAATATAAGTAAAAGTGAAATTGTAAATATCACAAAAAAAATGTTCGACTTGTACTTGATGAATGAATTAAAAAACTGCCAGTGACTAGATCCAGGAAAAATGCAGGGACATTTTATTTTAATTTTGTATATGTACCCACCATATTTCATGTAGCAGTTATTTGTATTTGGTACATTTTTTTGTCCCCAATTTCGAGTTGTAAAGATACCCTTTATTTCATTATCCTGGTTATAAAAACTATCCTTTAGAAGTCGAATTTGTATAATCAAAATAAATCATTAAATAAAAAAGGAAAAACTGTTCAAAAAAATATATCTTTTATGTATGTATTTGCATTTATGTTCCTTCATAGTTCTTTCCTTAACTATATTTCATGTAATTTCTAAAATATTATCCTTAATATTCATCAAGTTTCTGTAAGTAACATATATTTTCCTCACACTTCGTCAGTATTTTTAAATTCGCGCCTATACAAACTCTACGCGTGACGTTATGCGCGTGGCCGTCCTATTTTTGACACTGTTGATATCCTACCTTTTATTTTTTATACCATGCTTTTTATATAATGACAATATTTATTGTCATCCTTAAAACTTAACCCAGTGGCGCAGCGAGGGGGAGGAGTTATTAATGTATTTTTTATCTAAGTTTATTTGTAGCAGATTATTCAATTTATCTACGGTATAACTTAATAAATCCCCTTCTTTATCCGCCACTTCAAGCTGTCCTTAAACTTGATAGTAATATATATGTTTTTTGTTATAATCGCTAAGATGTTAAAATAAAAAACTGTGGATAACTTAAATATACGGATATTAAAATTTATTTATAATTGATTTCTTATTTCATTATTTAATAACCTAACAATATTAATAAATATGTTGCTTCTTCTGAAGTGGTATTTTAAATATTTTGTCGTGGTACATCTCAACGAATATAAAACATATTTTAAGGGATTGCGATAATTATGTATTTTAAGGAGTTGCATAATACAATTTCTTCGATGGAACAAATTGTATTTGGGAACACGTACTAATAAAGTATAACTCGTTACGACTTAGAAAAATGGAACCTGATTTCAAAAGTCACGTATGTCACAAGAATGGACTTTTACAAGCGTGTAACCAGATTTAATGCAACTTAGATGTAGGTATACTTGAATTAAAATATTTAGTTAGAATCATCAACATTTCTGTTAAATGCAAAATTAATAGAAAAACAGCCTTATGACCCTAGCTTCCCCTTTACGAAAAATATTTTATGCCTAAGAAAAAATTACAGTTCTGCTTATCGTATTTGTGTTTGTAGATACTTTTTGTTTTACATTTTATTATATATTTTTATATTATTAATATTTGATTTTTGATGTTCGAATTGCTGATATACTATAGTACGCGGGTACTATTGACCAAATGCATACCATAATTTAATTTAAAATTGTCGACTCTATGAAAACTGTTTTTAATATTACTTAGCGCACATTATCATTACCTATTATGTTTTATTAGCAAACCTACATGTACATACATTTTTATAAAATATTTTCAATTATTTATAGTACCTCTAATACATTTTTTGTATTTCATAAACTGTTAAATGTTAATTTTTACGCACGCCCATGTAGTCACACGACAGCTTGCAGCGAGAACAGTTGCAATATGATAGACATACGTAAGTTTTATTCTCTTATTACATGTTGTGATTGTACCTGCAATAGCGTACGTCCATTACTATTCATATTATATTTTAGCTTTTGGACTGTCAGCGCGGAACGAGATGCAGAGAGTATGGCATATAAAGGTGAAATTTGCATTTCGCGATAGGTACGGTTTCCTCTTAAAATAAAGACTCACCTTATAAAAACCATGCTTCTTTCTTTTCATCCCACTAATGGCTGGTCCATTTTACTTTACATTTTACCCATTATTCGATCTACAGCCCGACATTTTCTTACACTCCGGAAATCTTCTGTTCCCGGCGACGTCAGTTCATTCCAACATCAACAATCATTCTATCATTCCCTATCTCTAATAACAGCCCCTAGATACTCTACAATTTATTAACGTTCCAAAATCAAACACTTTAGTGTCGTATTACATAAAAAAAAAACAAGAATTTTAAGTTTGTATCTGTGATTGATTCCGGTAAGTTAAATAATAATATGAGATATCACCGGGCAGTATTGCTGCAGCCTTGTCCATTTGATCCAAGAATTTACTTCAGAAATTAATTATTGCAGAGCTAATACATCTTAGGATTAAATTCTAAAAGATGTAACCTCTTAGTAAATAATTTCAAAAGACGTAAATATCGTGAATCAAATGTCTTTATTGTCAGAGAGAAAGAGAATGATCCCAAACAAAATCGTTGATGTAAATATAAAACCATCGAGATTTTGTAATAACATCAACGATGCCAAACACTCAAAAAACTAACAAAAATTTTTTTTTTAATTTTACTAATTAATGTAGGCACTTTTTCATTTAATGAAAAGTTTTTGGATATAAATTTTTTTACCTAAAACAAAAAAATTAAAACCAACCTAGAGGTTTATCAAACTATTTAAAATCGATTGAAACACAAAAATATGATTTCAGCTTAAGAATAAAGTAACTCTATATTTATTTATAAATTATTAGATTAATTCACCAACATCTGAAAAGATTATATGCATAATTTTAATTACTAGGCAATAAATAAAAAATTTGACCAAATTAAGGACAATATGAAAATGAACAGAATCCACTCCCCAATAACAGTTCATGACAATTATAATAATAAATTCTTATGTACAAAAGCTGAACAAACCCAAAAACATCAACAGAGAGGAGTTAATAGAAAAACTATGAAAAAGATTCATGGCGGAATACAGAATAGATACCACTATAACGTTTGTGAGAAACAACTGGATTTACATCTTGATGTTTGACATGGAACTAGACAACTTCGAATCTCCCACTGAAACTAAACCAGAATCGCAAGTAGCTCAGATTCAACAACGAAATTAAAATATTATACAATAATATAAACAGTTACTTTCAAAAGAAATATTTAGTGAACTATACGATAGAAAGGAAGTTAGAGATTGTGCGCTATTTGTAGAAACTAAAACCAGTGCGGAAACCAACACCAACTATAGAAATTGGGATGTAGTAAGACACGACGGAAATATTCTAAACCAAAATATAAGAGGAGGATCACTTATGCAAATAAAACCAAAGCTAAAAATGCGAAAACAAAACCCGCCCCGAATAAACGATCCCCGAAATGATGCTCTATACGTCAGTATCCCTTTCAATGATGACGAACTTCACATTATTTTGATATACAGCCACCCACATGCTTCAACCGACGATTCTATCTTTAGAATGGCAGGACGATTGAAATATGTTGTGCTAATCAGTAACTTCAACCACCGCTCTCCAGGCAAATTAAAACAGATTCAAACTTTTATGCATAACACACACTTTATTAAAGCGGATACTCCCTCTACTTTTTTGATGCCCAACAATGAGGACTCCACCCCAGATTTGTTAATGTACACTGACAATCTTAGCAACGCAATCAAGAATATAGAAGTAATCCCCGACATTGGGGCAGACCACCTCTCTATAATGTTTACTATCGAGCAAGAAATGCCCTCTCCTTTTGCAGACCCACCTCTTAAATATCATTTCAATAAAACAAACATTGAAAAAATAAATAAAGAAATAAACCAACTAATTTCAAACAACACTAATATTACTACCAATGAAGTCAATAACTTTCACACAAAGTTCTCCGAGATTATCACAAACAACACACCAAAAACTGCAAACAAATATTTTACTTATGAACTTCCTAGATACATCGTGAAACTCATCAAAACAAAATGTAAAATGCTCAGAGAATACAGGCAAAATACTAGTCGGGAAGTCAAAACAAACATCAACAACTTTAACAAAGACATTCAAAAATTAGTAAAACAATTTCAGCAACACACATGGCTACAGACCTGACAAGAAATCAATCGAGAACAGGGAAGAAACTTCTATCATAAAATAAATAAATTGTCAAAATATAAAACAAGGAATAAAATTCCAAATATCACAGATGATGGTATAGTCTACAGGGTGTACCAATAAAAACTCCCAGGACGGATATTTTGGTAAGTAAGAGATATTTTAATTCTGTGAAAGCCAGTTCATAGAGCGCTAAGAGATCTTCAGTTTTAGATATAAATTGATTTTAAATAGGTCAATATGTAGATGGCGCTGCGCTCAATAATTATTTTTAGATGGGAGGACCTTTCTTATGTAGCGCATCTTCTAAAAAATACATTTTTAAGTAAATTTTGTTCTATGAACTAATTCGATAAATCTAGCCATTTTTGATATACAGAGTAGGTCATTCAAAACAGTTTCATCCTTTTTTTCGGCATTAATCATTGTATTTTTGGAAAATGCTAAAACAGGTCGATTTTTATTCTAAATTAAACACATTTTTGCAATACATACATCTGTCATGTGTCAACCCCCTCCCTTCCACTTCTCCAACCCCTTAATTTTAAATAAGGAATGTACCATGTTGCGGCACATCATTAAAAAGGTAATTTTATGGAGAAGTCAGAAATATGACAGTTTATTGTGAAACTTTTAATTTTAGCGCCCTCTATCGATATAAAAAAATCTGTAACGTATTTTAAAGTGTGACACTTCATTTGAAAGCTAATTTAAATAATAATTCAATGCGCCACATAACATTAATATAAATATTTCCATATTGCACTTGCAATAAAATAAAGTTAGCAATAATGTTTAAAATAATGCATGACTAATTTTTAAACTATTGCAAGAGCAATGTGGATATTTATATTAATATTATGTTATTAAATAATGTTATGTGGTACATTGAATTATTAATTAAATTTGCTTTCAAATAAGGTGTCACACTTTAAAATACGTAGTTTTTTATCCCGATAGAGGGCGGTACAATTAAAAGTATCACAATGGACAGTCATATTTCTAAATTCCCCATAAAATTACCTTTTTAATGATGTACTACAATCTATAATACGTAGTAGTTTTTTATCCCGCTAGAGGGCGATAAAATTTAAGTAACATAATTTACAGAAATATTTCTGAATCCCCCATTAAATTACCGTTTCAATTATGAGCCATACATGGTACATTACCTATTTAAAATTAAGGTGTGGAGAAGTACAAGGGAGGGGGTTGACACATGACATATGTCTATATTGTATAAATGTCTTTTATTTGGAATAAAAATCGACCTGTTTTAGCATTTTCCAAAAATACAATGATTAATGCCGAAAAACAGGATGAAACTGTTTTGAATGACCCACTCTGTATATCAAAAATTGCTAGATTTATCGAATTAGTTCATAGAACAAAATTTGCTTAAAAATGCATTTTTTATAAGATGCGCTACACAAGAAAGTTCCTCCCATCGACAAATAATTATTGAGCGCAGCGCCATCTACATATTGACCTATTTAAAATAAATTTATATCTAAAACTGAAGCTCTTTTAGTGCTCTGTGAACTGACTTTTACAGAATTAAAATATCTCTATTACTTACCAAAATATCCGGCCTGGGAGTTTTTATTGGTACACCCTGTATACCACAGATGAAGAAAAGACCGATGCATTTAAAAGGAACTTCATTAAAACATATAACGGAACGAAAGACCCATCTTTTAAACAAGAAAACTGGAGTAATGTAAACTCATGGTGCAAACAATATTTTAGAAACAACCCAATCAGTGAGGAAGATAACATAGAATTCGAGGATGAAAAATACTTTCAAATA